AAATCGTCGGCCGGCTTTTTGTGCCGAGCTTGGTTTTCCTAAGCCGAGCTTGAAGCAAAATGTAGCACTTTACGCTGTCCTTGCCCCAGATGCTGTTGTCATACGGCATCCAGCAAGTTGCAGGGGCCCTTCGTCTATGATGCCCCCCGGATCTCCGCTATGCAAGGCTGCCTCTCGATGCATCCGCGCTCTTCGTCGTCCCTCCTCTGATCGAAGTTAAAGGCCTGGAAGCTCCGACCATGAGCCGCCGCTTTGCAAAAGAAGGCCGGAGAAGGTCTTCTTTTTGTCAAGGCGGTGCCAGACTTCTCCCTGCAGTGGGGATCATCTGCTTAGTTCAAAGCTTGAGAGGCAGGAGGAGCCAGGTTTACAAAGCAAAAACTGCCATGAGCAGAACCCATGGGGTCCAGCTGGTCGCCTTTCCACACGAGGCTGCCGACGAGATGTAGTGAGCCATTTGCAGATGGGCATGCGGCATGCCCAAGTCCTCATCGGTGTGCTTCAACAGCATGGCATTTTGGCATTTGGGTCTGCCGCTTGGAGGTCTTCGCTGTTGGGCCCCCGCCTACTCTCGGAGACTGCCCGACAGGCACCCAGGGCAGAATCAACGCCGCATATGGGATCCCAAGTCCCGAAGAAGACCTGAAGCCAAGCTTGGTCCTGGCGACAGCTGCCGACGACAATCCAGCAAGTCTCATCTATGCCGGATGCATCTTATGTGCAGACCAAGCCTGCTCCAGCGTTGAAGCTCGAAGCTTGCTGCCTGTGTTACCGGAGCTTTCCCGATTCTGGATTTGAGCGATCGGGCAGCCACCTCTGCCTTGACAAGAGCCTTGAAAAAGGAGACTGAGTAAGCCCGGTGGCTTTGAAGCAGAGCTAGGGCGCTCCTGATGTTGACATCAGACCTCTTGCCCTCAGTACAGTCTGTCCTAGACACACGCCACGTGCGAGGCAGGACGGTGTAAGCTTGATGCTCTTGGAGCTGTAGGAGTCAGTGGCTACAAGCTGGCTTTCTGCTTTTGGGGCAGGCATCGGGACGTACGGCTTCGCAATACGGAGCAGCTCCAATTCAGAGCTTTTCCGAGATTCTGAACAAACCTTCCAGGTCCTTGCAGAAATCCGAGCCTCCCCCCGGCTCCAAAGCGCCTCAACTAGCAAACACCTGCTTTTACAGAACCCGAATATGTGAGCCCTTAGTGCCTTGAAGTCTTAAAGTTTCAGCCTCGAAGATCTCAGGGAGGGGAGCTCTTTACACATCCCTGATCCATCGTATGGTCCGGTTGTCTCCGTTTGAGGCGTTGTGGGAGCTCTCGGCATCAAAGCTTCGAAGCCTGAGCGACCAAAGAACTCACCCCGATTCCTTTGGCCCTTAGCTAAGTACCTGAGGTAGAACGTGATACTTTCCCAGCCATAGGCCCTACTGTGTAGGCATCCCAAACCCGCACATTGCCAGTTGCTGGCAGCCTCCAGCTGATCTCTACTCTGAGCTTACCGTTCTGGGCGCTACTTACCCCAACCATAGTAAGAAACCTTCAATCAGAAGCTCTACATGCTCCGTGGGGATGGCGGGCCCTTCGGCGCATCTCGAGGCTGTGTTGGCCGGTCGCAACTGCGAAAACGCCAGTACTCCGCGTCCTTCTGCAGGCCCATGAATTTCTGAAAGATGGCATCGTGTTGGGTTCGCCTCCAAAGCTACAGCTTTGAGAACTCAAGGTTGTCCAGCCAGAAAGCGCATCTGCCGATACTTCGGAGTGATCCGGGTGAACAGCGCGAGTAAGCTGCAGGTACCTCCGGCATCGAGACTCCTGATGCTCCCGCACTGCGGTACCCAACTAAAACAGGCCTCGAGGTGAGTTTGTCGACTCTGCACGCGGACACATGCAGATCATGACGGTGTTTGAGTGGATTTCCTTGCCTCGGCTTTGTTTGCACATGGATGGGAGCGTTCTATTTGCTGGGGCAGGATGCCGATGCAGCGGTCAGCCGGTGAAGGGGCTTAGAGTCTTTGTGTCCAAGTCGTACAGTCTTGACCCCCAATCAGCTTAAAGGGCAAAGGGTTTGGACCGGTTTGGAACCGAGTGACCAGTGTTGGTTAGGGGAAGGGGCTGGCCTTGGCAAAGCAGTGTCGACGTGAGACAGATGCAATAATCGGCAGATGAGCTGTGTACCTTTGTTTGAAAGCTGTGCATCTGATGTCCTGTAGTTGACCCGTGCTGTAAGGAGCAAATGATGGGGTCACCACTCTTCGACATTCGGCTGTTAGCACCACCAAACGGAAAAATCCGCTCAACTGATGATCTGTGAAGTAGTAACTCTAGTTGCCCAAGACCCTCCTCTGGCGATTGTAAATCATAACATCGAGCCCTTCTCTTGGCCGAGCAGGACCTCATTGCACCACGGACACAATGGTGTCTCACTGAAAGCGGAGTGCTTGAGCCCTAAAGCAGCACATTCCGCGACGGGTCATCCTCAACATCCCTATGCAAGTGCGCCAATCTATCATGCGCTTATAGCAACACAAATTGAAAGTCAGACCGGTGTAATTTACCTCCTCCTCCTCCCCTAACCTGCCTTGTGGATAGGAGAAGCAACACAACCGTTGAACGGCGTCGCTATCCGAGGTCATCGTTGGAACCCCGGCACGTGGCGACCGAATCTCTGCCACGGAGTGTCTAGACAAAGAGTTGGCGGAGATCCGAAATCGAAACCAGGCTCTGGCCACCCGATGCTTCAAGCCTAGAGACCTGACTCTCGCCACAGTTGGAAGCCGAAGCCCTGCTGGCCTTTTGAGGAGGTCGGTCTTCTATTCGCCTCTATCGCCTAAACCTCCGAACCTGAGCTTAGGGGCTTCTGCGGTCAGAGACTTCTGACATTTGAAGCGCTTGGAGATGGCTCCGGACTCTTGCTCTCCACAGAGGGGCTTCATTGTCGTCCGTTGCGTGTGTGCACAAGACATGGAAGCTGTCTGGAGGGTGCTCCCAGGACATCCAGAACTAAACCGCGACTGCGAATGTTTCAAGCTTGTCTTCGCAGCTCTGGGGCGCCAAAGGGGCATGTGGCAGACAGCAGTCGCAGATTTAGCTACTCCGGCATGGGCCTGCAGAGCAGAGTCAGTAAGACTTTGTGCCTGGAAGAACTGTGTGATCTGTTCAACCGCCCGTGACATGCCCACGAAATAGTCTGCCTTTGTTTGCAGGCCCAAAGCCCGCCCGAAAGCTTCAAGTCGATAGTCCTTAGGCTATAGAGTGCGGAAAGCTAAACCCTATAAGCCAAAAACCTCATGTTATAGGAAACCAAGGAACACGAAGCAACGGGCTGGCAGCCTAGCGCTGCACCCTCAGCGCAACCCTTTCCCAGGCATCTCCTCACAAGCCTCGGATGCTCCGCTAGCTCGCGTAGGGAAGCTCGGGTGCCGCCTGGCAATGTCAAAAAGGTTCATACATCATCAATAAGCCGTTCTTGGGCCGGAGTACATTAGAGATAATATGCATCTGCCGCTTGCCTAAACAACAGGGGCTCCCGAAAGCCAACGATCGCAAGGTCTGGCTGAGAAGCTGGCAAGACGGTCAGGTCCCTTCTTGCGCTGGGCTCGGGAGATTTGGGCTGCAGCAGCCCGACCTATTTTAAGCCCGTAGGTGTCGCCGGCAGATTGCCATGATGCTCTCCCTGACGGCCAGCCTCCTCTTTCACAGGCTCAGCTCTACCAAAACACTCTCCGTCTCCCGAAGTTCTGACACGAGGTCCAAGACTATTCCGACCCAAGGTCATCCCTGCTGGCTTCCGGAGACACACACTTCTGTAGCCAGGAGCTGCCCAGAGGCAGGTTTTGCTTGCTTCACGTCGGCGGGAGCAGATGGAGACGTGGACCTGAACGCATGGAGCTCCAGCTTGCCAGGAGAACCCGATGAGGGCGGGCATCCTTCGATCTACTAGAAAAGGCGCTCAAAGGGTTTTTTCGGGTCCCTTATAAAGAAAGACTTCGTAAGGCTTTCCGGCAGGCTCTGGTCATGCTGAGGCTCCCCACGCATCGTTCCCTCAGATTCTCAGACTCTGTTCAGAACTCTAACTTCAGCCCTGGAGCCTTCTGCAAGACCTCCAACAGACCTCAGTCCGTGTTGCCAGTGCGGGTCGCTTCATTGTGCCACCGGTCACGCCGACGCGACGGCTGTATACCCGCCTTTCGTAGTGTCTGCCTCAGGCTTGCACAATAAATCCGTGGCCTTCAAGAGAAAGCGTGAGAGTTTGAGGTTTAAACCTCACGGTTGCCATCATGGCTGTGCAACGGACTAGAGTCTAAAGCCGCTGCTTATCTGAGCCTGGAACGCTCCTCCGGCAGAGAGCCCGTGGAAAGGCAGCCGAGGCACTGGCGGCTCGGACAAAGTGTTTGTGGAGCGCTCAGGCACCTTGTCGCCTTGCCACATCCTTCACATGCTTGTCTTCAGCCTCAAAGAAAGGGGTGAACGTTAGGGGCCGAGCACATGCATGAAGCGTAGATCAGCATGTCGGATTTTTGGGTTCGAGCTGTTCAAAAGTCTCGGTGCTCGTTTGGGTTTCGAGCTTTGGGGCCTTGCCAGAGAATAGACTGCCATGCCTCAGCATGTTTACCTTACGCGTTCCGTGGCGATTGAGGGCTTTGGCCATGGCTCAACGGCCATGCCACGATGTCGCACTTCTCGCAACCTAGAAGCTTACCCTTCATGTGTCGGGCTTCTGTATTGGAAGTCTCTGGCGAGGTTTCATGCCCGAAGAACGCAGACTTGGCAAAGCCGAGCATGTCAGGTACAGGGCACGCAAGTCCGATGCCAGGGGTGCGTGCTGCCAGGTCGATTGTAGGCGAAGCTTCACGAAGCCAAGCTTGTCGCAGCAGGCAGTTGCCTTGTGCATGTCCGTTTGTCCTTCTTCTATTCGCCGGCTTCAAGGCCTTGCAAGTACTTCCCCAAGCCCTGCACGAACCTATCCTGAAGTCATTATGCTAAACCCTAAGCTAGATCCAACATTTATGCATGCTTCGGAATCCTCTGCACGCCCATAATGTAACGCGACAGGCAGCGATGGATGTGATCGCTTTCTCGTGCACCTTGAGCCAGGAAGAAGAGTGCTTGCTGGTGTCGGCTTCCCAGGGCATGGACCTGGCAGATGGTCCCATGGTCCTTGCGTGTAATCACACACTTGCGACGCCCGATGGCGAGCTAAGGGTGAACCATGTAGTGTCGCCTTGGAGCAGCCGGTGGACCCAACAAAGAACAGGCCTACTCCGGAGAGGTTCAAGAAGAGCCTTCAACGCCGGTGTTTCAATGCAGGGCTTTCAAGCCCTTTGCCTGACCCATGCCTAGTTTCGTGTCAGGGCACCACAACACGAAGGTCCTTCAATGGTACAAATGCGTGCGAACCCTACTCTACAAAGGCCACCTTCAAGTCTAGGTTTCTAGGAAGTGCGTGAGCCGGCGGATGAAATGTTTGATACAGCGTCAGACTCAGCTACGGCAAATGAAAGGCCGTTCCTGCAGTCTGCATAAAGTGGGTGGAGATGTTTTGCTCCGAGTTCGTGGTGGCCTGTGGCATCCAAACCCATGAAAAAGCGCTCCTAAGCCGTCGAGCGCTTCCAAACGAGTTCCCGAACAAGACCGGATGCCGTCGCACACCTCAGTGCTGTTCTGGGTGCAGGACGTAGTTGCAAATGCAACCGTAGCTCCTCGATCACTTCCCTGCTCCTGAGGTGCCAGCAATTGCAACGCTAGGATGCGGCTAGGAATTAGGCGAAGAGCAGCTTTGCTTCGCCCTCCGAGTTTTTTTGGGGAGGCATCGCCGACTCTAAGACTCAGACGATCTCAGAGGCCATTCGCAAGGAAAGCCGGGAGCCGGGACCTCTGCATCGCAGCCAAGAGAGCATTCTCTGGAGCCTTTTGCCATCGCTTGAGCATTTGTTTGGGAGGCGTCCTTGATGTGACAGGTGATCTGAATGCTCCGTGCCGATGTCTCTCAGAGGCTGCCTAGTTGCTGCCCCAGAAGGAGCTACAAATTCAAGGAGGCAGGGATAACTTTGCCAGCCTGCTCGCTCCTAGACTTCAAGCTCCTTCGTCCAAGGAGGCTCGCCGGCGGCTTCGTCCTTGGAAATTTGGCTGTCCAGCAGTTGGGGGTTCTGGCGGTCTGTCCAATCTCCATGAAGTGTGCATGTGCCATGAGATCGGTTGCCCACCTTGGCGGGGCCGTTGCCGTTACCGAAAGACACACTCCACCCATAGTGCTTTGTCCATCACTACTACACTCGCAAAGCCGATCTGTCGACGGTGAAGAAGAGCGACAATGGGGTGTTGTCTCTGCTCTTCTTTGAGCAGCGACAGATCCGGAATGGCCGTGATCTTTCTTTCTGCCTGCCACCTACGAGCACTCTAAGCCCCAAGCTCCCCAACCCTAAACCCTGCACTGCTTCCCGGCTGAGGATTTACGGAGTCCCTCGGTCGAGGCCGGAGGTCTCCCACGCCTGTAGATTCAGTGCTCATAGCATGGCTGAGGAGGTTTTGACGCCCTGCGCCCCGGCTCGTTGAGTGGTGAAGCTGCCGAAAGAAGGTGCGAACGGCCGCTGTTGAGGCAGCAGATTGGACATGATACGTCTGTCTTGACGCCTTCGCATGTATGGTTCGTAGACGGACATGGGTTTGTACAGGCTGACAGGCTCTCGAGGGTTTCGCCAGGACTTTCTCAAGCATGTTCTTTCAGTCTGGCGCCCGGTAACGGCACGGGCTTGCCACTGGTCCGTCGGCTTTACCCGATGGGGTTGGGGGTGTAAGGTTTCGGCGTCAGACGAGTCCATGAACACCTGAGCCCAAGAAACCATATGCGCTCCTCAGCTACAGTCTTACGGAGGAGCAGTTTGACCCCTGAGTTGTTAGATTAGCTTCGCAGGCCTGACACATCTCAGAATCTTCGTGGGCTCCTCAGGTCAGGGACGCTCTGCACGGCATCAGATGCTTCAGTGCAGCCCCCTTTCCAGCTGGCTTACTCGTGCCCTGAGCCCCACATTTTGTTGTTGAGAACCTGACATTCGCGAGCTGCGGGCAGCTTCAAAGATCCATCGTCAATATGGTCCAATCTCGATCTGCAAACCTGTGACAGGAAGCTGCGAAGGGCGGGTCTGAACTTCAAGGCTTCGTCTTGTTGGTTTCAGAGCTGAAGATGGCAACGATTTAGAGCTCAAGAGTCCTCGCAGTCCTGCCGTCTTTGCCGAAACTGCTGCTGTGTTTGTAGTTCTTTAGCAAATGCTCGGCCGATTGGCCTGGCCTATAGCTCGGAAGGCAGCCCGTGGAGGATGTCAAGCGCTTCAGTAGCAGTCCGGCATGGACCTGCAAACAGAAGCCTTGTCCAATTTGCGGCAGTTTCGCAGGACACGAGCTGTTTCTCCAATTCCTACGCTGTGTCCCCATTGTGGCAGTTTCGGAAGACGCGAGCTGTTTATGCAGTTCCTGTCAGACAGGCGTCCAAGACAAAAGTTGATCTCTCCAGGCTGGGTGGGGCCTTGTACATCGAATCAATATACAGAGTCTACCGACCCCTGTCGGAGCTTTCTGTGTCTGAGGCCGTGAGGAGACGCGTTCAGACCTCAACTCGTCAGTACGTCGAGCCTATCACGAAGCCTTCATGGGTTTACATCGGGTTCTCCGGCTTTTGCAACCAAGTGTTTGCATAATCTTCGGGCCTCTTTCCGTCGGAGGCGGCTCCCTTGCGCGGAAGCCGGGCGCGAAGGAACAAGCGCCCAGCGCTTCAAGACCCTTTATATACCAAGCATGAGCACTCGAGTTTGCCACTGCCCGAAGCTCCCAGGCTAGTCGAGGCTCGTCCCTGGCCTGTCCAGCTGAGAACCCTGCATGGAGGCGTCAGGCTGATCATGCCCAGTAGCCACTGCAAAAGACAAGCGGAGTATCATATCCAACACTCCACCTAGGTCCAGGACTTCTCGTTTGGCTTCGGATAGATACCTCCTGGTCTTTCTTGTTTGAGTTATCGCATGATCGAGGGGCGGACGGGGACTGCATGGGTTCTACTTGCCAACTGCTTCAATCCGGACCAAAAAATACGGGAAACTACAGGACCACCCCGCAAAAAAAAAAACGGTAGAGTTCCTATGATCCGGACCCCTACGTAAGCAATCCCTAAGTTGGCTCAGTCACACCTCCCAGGCTCAGCTGACATCCATCAAACCACCTCTCGGCCAGGACCCCCAGGGACCCTTTACTCCTCAGGAAATATGATGCTTAGAGGCTGCAAGAAAGGGTACAAGGGGGGGGTTAGGAGCATGATTCAAGCTAAGACCGCCTGGCTACCAAGGACCACTAAGTACTCAACTCTTTGGCTGAAGCTTTCGCGAGGAGTTCACCGAGGTGCCTCCCTGGACGCGCCCTGCGTCACGTGGGCCGTAGCCGCGGGTTCCGTAAAATCCTCCAGCTCAAGGCTTCCGGGTCTTGAGCCGTGGAAATCTTGAGGTGGCCGGCTGCACGTCAGCTTGTCACCTTCCGAACTTAGCACACTCAGCATTAGCATTCCCTGGCCCTGGCCCACTTGGCATTACCGCAGATCCCAGGGCTGATCTCGTGCATCAGAGTAGTCGGAAGCCATCCTCCGCATTTCCCCAGGGGCAGACCATGAGAATTGCCCTTTCTACCTCCACCCGACCCCGTCGGACTCTACCGAGCCCGGAGGACGTAAGATGCTACCTGCGGCTTCTGAAACGAAGCTATCTGCGAGGCAGAAAAGGGCGTTTCCTGAGGGCTTTACAGCTCCTCATGTATAGGACTTTGAGAGCCTGCAATGCCTTAACGCAAAATCCCTGAGTTTAAGTAGGCTTATAAGTACCTCGAAAGGATACCACCAGTGAATATCACTGTATAGTCCCTCCACTTGCATCTGAACTTGTGACAGCCCATGAATCTCCAGGATGACTCACGTCGCCGTAAAGATAGCCATGACATTCACATTCACCATATGCTCATCGCATTTTGGTAACTTCGCAGTCTCACTAGTCACTAGCATCCTCAAAAGCACCTTGTGGGTTGAATGCTTGGAGGTCGAAGACTGGGATTCCTTTTTGTGCAGATGGAATGCTGTCATGTACCCAGCAAAACTACGTGGGCTTCCCCGCATTGGGTCCAAACTCCGCAAAGATCGAGAGCCACGCCCGAAATTGATGTCCCAAAGCCTTCAACTCCTACGAGGAAAAACTTCCTGAGCCTCAAAGCTCCGACAAAGCAGCAAAATCCCTCATCCCTCATCCCTTCACCAGGAGCCCTGAACGTTGCCCCTTGGCTCCCAACTCTGCAGATCTTGAGAGGACAGATGCTGGTGAGATCTGGCTCAAGGAGCATCCGGAGGCCTGTCGTGTGATTTTGATTTGTTGTTCCGTGAGGGTCCAGTACTTTTCAATATATACTTTCGCCATGCAACATACGCAAGTACGTTGGGGTTTAGGTTGTGGGTTGCAGATTTTCAGCAGTTGGTGGCAGGACTTCTGCAATGAACATGCATTACCTCTGGACTGCCTTGTTATCTTTGCTCTTGGGTGTAGCGTGCCTGTTTGTTTGTGTGCCGGGTGGGTGTCTTGCGCTGTTCTATACCGTGCATAAGCAAAGGACTGCTTGTTTCAGGTGAACCTCCCCCAGCTCTGAGCTGATCTTGAAAGTGAATTCGTGGTGAACGCCGTTGTAATATAGGGGCTATACTGTTCTGGGGGCTCCTGGCTCCTTATTATAAGCATAGTAGAATAGAATATACCCCAAAGCGCTATTCTAATGATTCAGGCCCCTATATATATATATATATATATATATATACATATATATATCATGGTTTTCGAGTCCCCTTCGCGAGGCATCGCGCGAGCTCCTGGAGCTGCTGAGCGAAGCAGCTCTCTCGGTTTGTTCGCGTCTACGGCCCTTTTGACGAGTTCAGCTTGAAAACCCAGCAAGACTTTGCATGACATGGCTTTCAAGTCGCCCCATTGCGCTTTCCTGTGTTTTTCCTCGGTTCTATGGCTGGCAATATACTTGCAGGTACCATCTCCGACTGTTACTGTAACATGGAACCTTAAGATCCTGAGGGTCTTTTGCGGGATTATTGTCATGTTTGGCCAGAGAGGATTTACAACCATCAGTCAGGTCTCCCAAGGGCATCTAAGGACAGTTATGGGACGCTGAATACTAACCTAATACAACATGAAACGCATACTTTGTACATCTGAAAATCCGTCCGAATCCCCAAAACCTAAAACCTTGGACCTCTGCTAAAACCCGACACCCTTTCGCTGGAGACAGTTGGATGAGCAGATCGAAAGGGGCCTTCAAAA